CCATCCATCCATCCATCCACCCATCCACTCATCCATCCACTCATCCATCCATCCATCCATCCATCCACTCATCCACCCACCCACCCACACACTCATCCATCCACTGAGCCCTGTGCCCCTACCCTTGGGGAGCCAGTGAAGACCACAAGGGCTGTGTCTCCTGGGCCCAGAGGGGAGGGGTCTGCATTCCAGGGGGGCAGGCTGGGGCTCCTGCATTCCTGGGGCAGGCTGGTCCCAACCCTCCCCAGACTCCCCCCATGAGTTGTACTTCCTCCGCCTGCCTCCCTCCCCTTCCCGGCACCCTGGGTATTCATAGTATCAGCACAAATAAGATGCTGGTTGAGTGGTTGGGTCACAGCAGGTGTGCGCGGAGCACTGACAGCCAGACATCCGTCCTGTCAACAGCATCACAGCCACCTTGGCAGCGCTCAGGACCAGCGGCCAGAGAAGACGTGGTGGGGTCAGGAGGTGCCCCAGTGGGGTATGTGTGCTCCTTCTCCAGGTCTCTTGTGGGACCCAGCAGCAGTGAGGAGGGAGGGCCAAAGCTCAGGGAGGGGGTGCTGCAGGCGCACATTGTATCACGGAGCACTGTCAACCTCCTCCCCCCAGCCCCCCCCCCACCCGGCTGGGAGCCCTCAGCCCACACACCAAGCCCTTCTCTGTGGGCTCAGCCAGAGTCCCCAGCAGGCAGGGGCTGGCGGGGGTGTTGGCATCAAGCCACCCAAGAGCAGGAGCCAGGAGCACTGGAGCTCAGAGAAGAGGGGCTCAGAGAGGGACGCGATTGGGTGGTCATCACACGGGAAGTGCCAGGCCGACAGGCAGCCCCACCAGCAGCACCAAGCGACTGGAGGGAGGGGTGTTGCAAAGGGAACAAAGCACTGACTCCCCTCGCCTCTGTTCTCCCACAAGCCAGGGGAGGGTGCCTGTGACAGGACCCCTCTTGCTGGTCAAGGGTGGAGTCGGGGGTGGGATGTAAAAGGAAACAGCACGGGACTCTTGTCCAGGAATCC